CCTGGAACCCTTAGCCTATACCAAAGCTAGTTCAGCTGAATTTTGCTAACCTATACTAGAGTAAACTCCCCAAATCCCCCCATCTAGCGACACTGTTGAGGCTGATTTGCGTAAATTTAAACTTGGCGATTTGATTTTTTTATATTTTTAAGTGGCAATTCCTGTTTTCCTTACTCTAGATAAAATCTTTAACCAACCAGTCAGTTTTGTGAAAAATGATACCTTATTCTAGACTCAAACGCTCTGATTTATATACCCTATCCTAGCGTAAACTGCTTGAAAGCCATACCCTTCACAGCGGCACATACCTATATAGCCCATATATGGCAGTGCCCTCCCCCCCCGGTATACACCTCTCCCAATCAGAATTACGCGCTTGGAGTTTGAAATATTCTCCATTTTGTGATCGTCGCATTTTGTCTAAACATTTTTAGCCTCTTCCAGGCGTTCAGTTCGTTGGGTAGTTGGGGCGCAGCGCGAAAAACGGCGCACGAAAAAAATTGAAAAAAGCACGGCGAGAAGACGCGCTTTTTTTATTTTTTCGCGCGCCGTTTCTCGCGCTGCGCCGCAACTGAACGCTTGGAAGGGGCCAAACATTTTTCGTCCAGTAATAAATCTCAACTGAGCCTGTCTGGGACCGTATTGCAAGCATATGATTTATCGGCCCTTGTTATGCGAAAATGTACTCAATTTTCTTGGGAGTCCTCAGCTGTCTGCAAATTTGAGGATATTGTGAACATCTTGTGTTAGCACACATGACATACATCTACTACTTCACCCATTGGTGTTTGTGTCATTTTCAAAATCGAAGTGCTGGAAGTTGTTTCGAGCCACCTTAATTAAGTGTCAACAAATGGCCAAAATGAACGACCAAGTGCCCCAGGAGAGACTGGGCACTAGTGGTTTAATGACGTTTTTCTCAAAACCTACCCGTGTGACCCTACCTAAAATTTTAGGAATTAGAAATTGGCTCTGATTAAACATTCATGAAAAGTAAAATAAAAATAAGACACATTTTTCGTAAACTAAGAAAATGTGAAATTTTGCTTATTTCAAAAATAGCTCAAAATCTGTCTCACAGATTTTTTTAATTTTGCATTTTAACGCGATTCACCCTACAAATCAGCTGTAAAAATTTCCTCATCGGTTGTACGGTAGGTTTTCGAGCAATCTTTTTTATAACCTTGCGCGGGATTTGAACTGCGCATGTCTATTTATGTCTTTTACAGTGTATGTGCGAGAAAGCATGAGTAAATTGGAACTCATTTCCCGGTTGTT